CAAGCACACCCCCTTATTTCCCCCTTTGTCTGAGGAGGCTGCCGCTGTCCGATACGCAGCAATGAGGAATATTTCCAGTCCTAACCTCGCCGAGGTGAATCTAGGCAAGTCACAAGACACACAGGGAACATCAGGAAGATCTACCATGCTGTGTTTTAATGAACAGCGCATCTTCCTTTATCCCTCTCCAGTTAATACAGTTGTAAGAAAGGAGAAGAGGGGGAAAAGGGGGGGGGGCGGGGCTTTGAAATTTATTCTGCTTTGTCTCTCAACACACAGTCCAAACACTATACCCTAAGACATCACAGGAAAATTTGCAGAAACAATTACAGAGCAAAACGTTTTGGAGCCCCGCTGCACTTTAAGCCATTTACTCAGTTAAGTCAACTTTAATCGTCCTCGGCTTTTAGCAACAAACTGCGCCAAGGTCTTCCCGGCTGGATTTTCTTCCCCCCCCACTTAGTTCTAGTATCACGTTTCAGACATGGCTGAGGGCGGCAGCAGATGAAGACATCAGCAAAGCAGCTAGGTGGCATGAGAGCCCAGCAAAGCAGCCAGGGATGGGGAACCAGCCGAGCTGACAGCCCTGGCGATGCTGTGTGAGCACGGCAGGATGGGGGGGTTGGTTCCCAGCAGCCAGAGACCCTCCTGAGGCAGGAGGAGCAGCAGCCCTGGGGGGCAAGGAGGGGACCGGTTTAACCCCCTGCCTGTCACAGCTCTCCTTCCACTTTTCAGGCCTGCTGTTAGTCAAGTTCCAGAAGGACCACAGACAGACACTGCACCTGAGCCAAAAGCTCCTAGTTTGGCTTTATTTCATATAAGCAAGTCTGCTGTCTTGTGCAAACAGCTCTGGGCCAGACCAGTTCCTGAGTTTTGTTTGGTTGCTTGGTCTGGGTTTTTTTAACAGTGCAGAACAAACACATGCCAGAAAGACACACATTTGTCAATGCACTTGTCCCTAGGCTGGCTTGAAGAGGAACCCCTTTCCTTGTGCAGTGATACTCGCATTTATTCTAGCAAACACTAACTCTGAGGAGGGTTTCTCCTCTCCAGTATTTCACAGAGGCAGCAGGCAGGTCAAGGCTGGAGATGAGTGGAAAGCACACAGACAACTTGATCCAGCAGCAAAATGAAACAAAGTTGGGTCAATCTGGCAGCATCAAAGCTGAGCAGTTTGAAATGTGTCCACAGGATGTTAAAAGCAAACACCAAACCCAAGCCTGTCAGACTGTTCTGAAGACTTGCTTCAGAAAAGGCTGAGAGGAGATTCAAGGCACTTCACAGTATTTTCCTCAGTTTAACACAGAGCAAGGCTTCCCCTTGCAAACGAGCCCCTAAACAGCTCTGCACGTACCATCTCTGCAGCACCTCAGACGCATACAGAGAGATGGATGTGCTCCTGCCAGGCCCTCACACCATCACCAGAGACAGCTCGTTGGAGGATAACTACAGATGTGACAGAAGTTGAAGGCCTGAAAGACCATCCCCTGAAGGTCCAGGGAGCAGGAGATGGACCACATCTTTCTGTGGAAGTGACAGATTGACATAAAATAGCTTTTAAAAGCTTTTCGTTAACCTGGAATGCAGGCCATCCCTCCGGAGTTTAACAGGAGTGCCTTATTCTGCTTTAGCTCTAATCTGTTCCTAATCAACTTAAGACAAATTTATCTTAAGCCAGATTTCCATCTGTTAAGAAGGATCCGTGTAGCCTTTTGCTCCAGAGCTGCTGTATTGATTTTACAGAGGCATCCACTACTTTAAATAGGTGGAACGGTTTCCAGAAACCAACTGAAGACTGAAAACCAAGCCAATTTATCCCAGCATTCATTAACCCTCCTCCAAGGAATAGAAAGCTTTAAGATACACTTCCATTTACAACAGGGAGAGTAAGATCAAGGATTACAAAGCCAGAGCTTGCTCACAGGCTGTGTCTCCCTCAACACTGCCTTATGAACAGTGACATTACTGCAGGATCTTGGGAGACACCAGCAATGTCAAACACATCAAGTCACTCTGAGCAAGAGCTGCTTCAGGACTTGAGCACCGCATCAGCATCTAAAACAGCATCCAGAGATTAACTGCTGTCCCAGTTTCTCATAATTAAGCAAGATTAACAAACAAGATAGATCCAGTAGCCACCAGTTTTAATAGCTCAGACGTGTGTCCAGTAAGATGGCAAACTGGCTGAGGGAGGTTTGGGTAACAGCAAACTGCCTTTAACAACACCCCTGAAGTACAAATTCTAATAGTTTGTATGTTTCAAATCCATGTTACACACATTGCACTAGTGCTGTCCACTTGGCTTTTAAACTTGCAATGAGATGAACTCTCAAAGGAGTTACTGGTTTAAGGCCATTTTACACAGGAGCCCTGTGCTGTACTGACACTGGTTTCCTTATGCTGAGCTTGAGGGAAAGGGAAGGGATGAGGACAGGAGGGACAGACAACCATGGACCACAAATCAGACAGACTATGGATTATGGGAGTCTCAAGGTAGAAGCAGGCATGAATTCAAACTTCTGTCAAGGTGCCAGGAATAACTGCTGCAGTTCTTTCTACTCACAGCAATAGATATTGGTCCCTAAGCATTCCTACACCTCTAGAACTGAAGGACACTGCACTGGAAGGGGCAAAGAGGAAGGAGAAGCATTTTTTGCTTTGGACACAGGGTAGTTTGCATCCCCACCTCACCAGCATTCAGCAAACATTCAGTTTAACATCTGTTATGCCAAAGAAACTCAAAGTAAGTTTCAGCCACAAACAGCAAATATTAACAGATCTAACTTCACTGATGCAGAGTAATGATCACCACACAGACTTCCATGACAGAAGCCACCTTTTACTGCACCCAAATTTATATTCACATCTCAATTTTTTTAATATAAGGCTAAACAGTCAGCACCTGGAAATTAAAAGAAGATAACTCCTAGGAGCAGCTTTGAGCTAACAGGTTTGGCACAGAATCAAACCTCTTAAGCACCCAGACCAGGGAGAAGTCTGCAATAATTAACAAAGAACCTACAGCTTGCAGCAATCCTCCCTAACCAAGTCTGCAACCTCCTGGCTGCTGCCCCCTGCTCTGTGCTATATATTGCCTTCTTTGCTAAGGCTTGTGATGGGATGGATGGGAGAAATATGGGACAAGCTGCTCTTTTGACCCAATATAGTATGAAACCACACACCTCTCTTCTACTGAAACAGCATTACAGGGGTATTTCTCCTTTTTCCTCCCATTTCAACAAGTGTGTTTTGAGAATTCAACTGAAGCAGAAGTCCTCTTTACTGCCAAAGCAACACAGAGAGTTGATATTGAGTATGACAATTGGAGTAGCCAACAGTTTCATACAACAGTATAAACCTCTCCTAGGCTCTGAATCATTTAAACATGTTAAATATTTTGCAACCAAGGTACCAACTGCAAGTTTCATCTGTAGAACCATGTCAAACATCTGCATTCAGCCATTTTCACTGAAGGAACAACTTAGAGAGTTGTGATCCATCATATCTGAAGAGGACAACATCAAGGTTAGTCTAAACCCATGACTCAAAACCCCCTTACCCTACACTTCAGGAAGAAACAGTTTTAATTCAACACAACTCACTACTAAGGGGTGATAAAGTCTCAGATTTAACAAGAAGTGCCTGCTGGATGATCTTAGGGAACTCCTGCCCCCAGTCCAGCATAATTACTCCTCAGCCTTCAAAGCAGAATAAACTGCACTTCTTGAAAGGTGTTGGAGTTTGGTGTAACAGTTATCAAGCTCCTACAAAACTGAAAAACTACAGATAATTTCAATCTAAATGAGGCTTAAGAGGCTATAAGGTGTTTCAGTTGGCTGGAACAGCATCAAGTATTTTGCAATGAGTGATCAAGTTCTCGGACCAAGCGCTGACAGTGCATGAATGAAGAAGAGCAACAAGACTTAACAAACATGATTAGTATTATCCGACTGCTTTGTTATAAATATATTATATACATTCAAACATCACATTAAAATATTATTCCATTACACCAGAAGAGATTAAGGCTTTATATTATTTACAGAAACAAGCAAGCACCTTAAAAAAAAAGAACAAAACACCAGTCATTGACATTTCCCTTCTAACATTATAAGTTTGATACCTTGAGCTCTTGAATACAGCTATTTGCAATGTGCCCAATGCTAGAACTATTTTAAACATTTATTGTCAGGGTAGGAAACACTTAATAAAAGACTCATCAGTGAGCACTCCACATGAACAAACGTGAGCACGTGTTGTACTGGGTGCCCTCCCTCTCCTCAGAGGCTTGTTAAGTTGAAGGCTTATGCAGTAACAGTTGCTCAATTCCATGAAGAGCGTAGAACAATTTTATTTTAAGGGAAACTGAAGACACTTGAGGATTCATGGCCCACTGGTGGAGTGGGATTCTTGAAGTCTGTTCCACATTACGTCAGTTAGATTAAACATGATAGCAAAGACAGAGCTGTAATTTCATCAATCACTAAGTGCATTGAACAGTGATGATTTTATAGGCTTCCATCACTCTGACACACTGTTTTCATGCAGTGTATCTGGACTCAAACATGAAGTGACAAACTTGTCACCATTCCCCTAGAGGTCTGAGGCAACAAGCTATTTTTGCAGTGTTAAATAATGTTGATACAACACATGTTTACTACGCCACCATGTACCAATGGAGTGACTGTCCTGCCTTCTGGTTTGCCTGATAACCTTATGAGCTAGTGATGAAGTATTTATTAAGATGTAAGCAGACATGGCTAAACAAAAAGGTGCTCAGTAAGAGTAATCATCTTCATTTCAAGTATCGTTTTAAGAATTAGTTCTTTTCATTACAGTTTGTGTTAGCACTTTTTAGTTTGTGCTTTAGAGTCTGTTACTTCTTTGCAGGTCTTGAATTTGGCTGATGGCTTTTTTTTTTTTAAAAAAAAAAACATTGGCAACAAGTTAAGGATTGCAGAAGGCTGGCAAAAGTTATTTAATTTTCTGAGCCCATTTCATGTCATCTGCTCTTGGCTTCTCTCCAGTAACTGCTTGGATAATGTTCTCCAAACACCTCCAGAATCTTATCTTCTCTAATGGATAGTTGAGCCAACCTAGAGGATTGCAAAGGAAAAAGGATTAGTTTGTCATAGCATCCAAAGTTCAATGTCTTGCAATGTTTATTTAATATCATCCTTTAAATTAAACACAAGGTGAACGTAAAAGGGCAGTTCAGATGTGGACTACTCTATGGCCATTGCAAAACTATCAGAAAAGGATCCATTTAATTGAATGACTTGTGTTAGAAGGAAGATACTTGTAGTAATAGTACCTTAGATTTAATATTGAAATTCAAGTAACCAAAAAAACCCACCCCAACACAACAGTTTTGGCTATTTTTCCCTATCACCAAATCCAGCTCAGCTTTTTCCTGTGCTTCTCATTAGGTAAGTACATCAGGAAAGTAAATACACACAACAAGGCTCCAAAATCTCAAACACATTATCAACAGCAATTTCTAGAAAAAAATATTTAAAAAATAAATAAATGTTCTCTTTGGAACCTCAACACCACTAACTACAGCTCAGGAAAGCAGAAGTTTTTTCTTCAATAAAGCCTCAAGTTTAGATAGTTCAAACATAAATTTTATTTAAGGCACTGAAATGTTTTGTGCTCTCCCTGGGTGAAATTGCAGTTTGTGTAACGGGTTCCTAATGAAGCCTGCAGTGGGGAACTCTTGTCCCAGTACCTGGGACACTGTGTATGTAATGGCAGCTGAGGCTGGACACTCCCCGGATTAAAAGGGCAGCACACCCCAAGGTGTGCAGCTCAGGTAACAGAGCACTTCTGCCTCACAGCAACCAGAAAGGCTTCAGTGGTCACCAAAGCACAGGTTTTTACCATTCCATGTAAAAATGGCTGTACTTTCAAGCATCTTTCCCAGCCTACAGATTCAGGGTGTTTTGAACACCTTGTAGAAAAGCTGCACTACACAGACTGTAAGGCTGGAGCTCACAGCACTAACAGGCCTCACCAAGAATTCAGAGGGGTTTCATGTCTCACTTCAACAATATTAATTAGTACATTAACTTGATTTTCTGATACTGTATTTTGATGCCAGCCTACTTATGTATACATGAGACAGGAGAGCTCACAAAGAGGCAATTTCAGAGCTTTATTACAACCTATTACATAGTAACTTTAGGCCTGTTTTATTAAATATTGTAACGCCAGGAAAACCAAACAAGATCAGCACTGGGAAATGTTATTTCCCTGTAAGTTTTTTCCAACAACCAGGAAGAGGTGGATGTGCACAGAGTTATATTAGTTATCCCACACTTAGAGAACTGTTCTGTAAGCATGTTGTACTTCATGTACCTTTCTAGAAAGGGAAAAAGGCATAAAAAAAATCCCAACAAACCAAAGGAGAGGCAGGAATGAAGTTGTTACCACAATGGAAACAGTGAGCTAGCAGCAGCACTTCATGTTAGAGGAAAGAGCTGAAAGGCAGGACAGCGTGAGGATGGAACATGGGGAAGCTGCTGCAAAGCCAGCTCTGCCAGGTCTGAGTCCCATCCCTACAGTGGTGACACTGCCAGCAGAAGGAAACAGGTGTTGTTGCTGGTGGTGTCTTAGACTATGTGTGTAGCTATTATGGGACAGAAATACTGAATGGAGAGAACACTCAGAATATTCACTGCTAAGAAATACCATGTTGCTAGAGAGCTAGATCAACAGCTCATCAGACACTGCAGCTGTAACCATCTGTGCAACAGGCCTTGTTTTCATCCATGACCTTTCCTGGCTCACCTGGGGTCCTGCAGCTCCACTCAACTCACTGTGCACTCCTGTCCTTTAGGAAGTCAGCCCATGCAATTCCCATGAACACAGCCATCGGCCCTCAAGGAATGGATGACTCCTCCCTGGTGTCTAAAAATGGCAGTTAGTCCAAAAGCTTTAACACTGGAAATGCCAGAAAGCTCTGCTACCTGACACCTCCTCTGGCAATGATACAGGGAAGTGACAGACCTTTACATGCACAGGTCAGGTCTGGAACCAAGTGTACTCTTTGGACCGGGCTGTCAACTCACAAATCACTAATGACTGCATTATAATAACTAGCCCTGTTTTACTCACTAAAGGCCCCTTTTAAATAGCATATTGATTGTGTATTTCTGTCCTCCTCCTCACTTCCATCCTAAGAGAATTAGGGCTGCAGAAACACTTCGCTTCAGTGGGAAATCCAAGCACACAATCTATCATGCTGTGTTATGCCAGACTAGAATGGTATGAACACTTACAGAAAACACAGAGTGAATGGAAGCACAAGCTTATTTTTAGTGAGAGAAAAAAAAGCAACTAGCCCAAGACTGCTAATAACATCCAGCTTAAACTTTGATGACATAGTAGAACTGAAAAAAGCTCTTAGTGTGGCAAGATTTTTGCCATTATCTGTCAAGTCATGCCTCTCAAATTATACCGTGTTCTTACATGACAGTCTGGCCATGAGAAGTAGATTTGTTTCTTGGCAGAGATTTCAAAACTGACACAAACTGTTTGTCAAAGCCAATGACAGAATGAAGAACCAAAGTAATTTATTTCCAGCTGTCTGATTAATTTTGTAACTTATGCAGGACTGCGCAACACTGGTGACTCAGTATAGTGTCTGTACAGTGAGCATAAAATTTAATATAGATAAGAGGAATGTAAAGCCAGTTTTCTGCAAGCCTGCCCACTCCTCTGTCCTAAATCAGAAGGAATGAATGCTGAAAAAGCCTTACTTTAGAAGTGAGCACTCAAGGTAAGCTGCACTTGCAGATGACATGCTCTTTTGAAGGAACAAGCAGCTTTAAGACTTCAGTGAACAAAAGCCATTCCTAGTGTGAGATTACAACAACACCCTTGGATCTGGGTACCACCAACTACCCCCCGGGGCTGAAAGCTCCCTTTTAGTCAATCACTACTCTTCTCCCCCACATTTTCTATGCTGCACGAGCTGTTATCAAAGAGCATGGTGAGCTTCACCATGTCATTTTCTAAGTTTTTAATAGTCTGTCACTAAATGACATCTTGCTAGGTGAACTGTACAGACTACTAGAATAAGCTGGCAGCATGAACCAGATGGCAGTACCAGTTGTAATGCAGAAGTACGTCTCATGTGGAGACACATGATGGATCCTGTGATGCTTCCGTGGCAGGATAACATGCCAGTCCTGGAGAAATATGACCCAGCGTGGAAGACCAAAGTACGTGTGGGACCACTTGTGAATCTGGTTCGTCATGGTTATGAAGATGATAAGGGCAAAGACATAACACTCCCAAGGACATGTTTCATACAACGCCTCTGTAAAACAAGATGTGTATCTTTAAATACCATTTATGACAAAGTAAATTTCTGCTACGAAAATGATGTCTTGCCCAGACAGAGCTGCCTGCTGCTACAGGAGCAAGGGCCTCAATGAAGCCGCTCTGGCAGAAGTTTCACAAGAGCCAGTGAGCCACAACAACTCCAGAATGTCACAGAACAGGCTGGTAAGTGCCTACGCCTGTCAACTTACCAGAAACAAGAAGACTCTGAGTTAAACATCTATAAAATTAATCTTTCGATTCTTGTCCTTCTAGTTTGCAAATGCAGAGATTAAGCATTTTTAGATACTTCAGGACAATGAATTTCCCTATCTACACAGAGTTTGATCCCTCTTATAAAAAGAATATTTAATGTAACATCTAATGCTTCCTTCCAGGACTCCTCAGCCACCAGTTCTCTGTTGGGTTGAACAAAAACTTTGCCTCGACCTTCAAGTAAAACAATAAGTAAAAATTTCCCTCCCTCCTCCCAGGAGCATCACACTTCCAACAATTATTACTTGTCATCTCCTATTCAACGATTTCTCCTAGTTTCACACAGAGAACCTAATTTAAATACCAACAAAAATGCTAAATCCAAATAAGTCAGAAGTAACACCTTACCTGGGGAAAAAGAAACAAATTTATATGCCATGTTTGCCAACGGGACTAGTGTCATGAAGCAGTTGTCTCCATTGGTCTCTATAAAATCATGTCTGGTAATTGCTGTGGGGTCAATATGATGTTCTCTAAAAGGTCTGATGAAAGCCTGAGAAAACAAATTGATAAACATGACACTATGGCCCAGTTATGTTATTGGAAAAAGACAAAACCCAAAAAACCTCACAAGCATTTAAATCTGATTTCCGAGTTTCAGAGAGTTCCACAGTACAAGCATGAAAGCAGGATTCAAACTTTTGTGATTACAACACTTCGGATAATTTTGTACAAAGCAAATCAGTTCCCAGACTCAAACTCAGTTTTTTATTGCCTTTCAGTTTTATTCTTAACTTCCACTTAGGAACTTCAGCCTCTAAGCTACAAAAACAAATAATCAGCATCTTAATTTCACAGATAAAATAAGCCTGTGAAATTCACAAATATAAATCACTTGCTACCAGATAAAGCAAGAAAACACCAAAAAATGAAAGTGCAGGCTTATAGATGACTGCATGAACAAACTAAAGGCAAGTTATACCACATACAATGCCACCTGCAGTGCCCTTTTTTCTTTCCCCCACCTCCCTTTTTTTTTTTAACTATGGTCCACAGATAAAGGGATGCAAGGACTACTAAATCTGTTAAAGTGGAAAAAAAATAAGCCTAAACCAAATTGTCTTAATTCCACTGCTCTAGTTAATGTATTTCTGGATAATTACAAGGAATATCCCATATACTTTTTTTAAAAATAGAGATCCTTCTAATATTGCACTGTGAGAATTAATGGTAGCTGTGAAATTGATTTAAAAAAAACAGATTATTGTTTATTAGGTGAACCTTCCTCTAAGCTTCTGGCATTTGTAGCTGCAGGTATTTAACACATCCCAAATCTAAACCTTCAGTTACCACCATTCCAGTACTACTGCATTTACCACAGGGGCCAGTAGCAAAGCAGACTGGGGAGATTTCTTACTGGAATGTTTTCATGTTTTAAAAGACAGGTTTTAGAGAGTTCAGGTACAGAACATCTGTGTTTATTGGCCTTTTGGAAGATCTACACAAGTCTAGCCAGTGTAGATGTCTATGTGTGTGGTGTCACAGGCCACTCCTGTGGTAGCTTGGGAAGGTCTGTGAACACTGGTATTGCAAAAACTGTGCAAACCTTAAATAAGGTGATAAAATGGAATGGTGTCACCTTGCATGTCACCTAGGACAAGTACAAACATAACACTTTATCAATCTACCGCACTACTCAGTGGAGGAGGGTGGGGGAGTTGGTTACATTGCAAAACTACAAGAAAGGTGCAGCTTACACTGTACAGGTGGGAATACTGAAGTGTTTCAGAAAACTATTCTGTAACTTTTTCAAGCTTAAGGATAAGAAACTCAAACCTTTCCAACTATGGGTAGCTCCACAGATCCCCAGGTATCAGCTCCCCAGTGAAATAATCCTGATAGAAAATCAGCTGTAATGACTCCTGCAACTTGAATGAGGAGAGAGACAGTCAGATAAACAAATGCATTTTTACCGACATATTCACATCTTACACTTGTTTTACAAGTTTACTTGTTTATCCACCTCTAACTTAGATATTTACAACTACAAGAGATCTACCCCATCTGAATAAACATAAGGTTAGGCAACCAGGAGTAAGACACTAACAAGACTCCATTTGGGTGGTTACAATCTTCTTCAAATCTATAAATTTTGTGTTTAATCCACCTTCTACAAAAGAGCTTGACAAATCTTTACAGTTACTGGCATGAAAAATACTAATAAATGAGAACTAGGTCACTCAGGTCTGCCTACTCCCTTCTTCAGTTGTTTTTAAGAGATTACTTGTGTATGAAATAGCTGTTGAAGCCCCCCCAACAGATAATACTAACTGCAGAGCCTTCCTCTTCTCCCTTGCTCTCTCACTTCTGTAAACAAGCAGTACTGAATTCCAACAACTACAGATAAACACCAGTTGAGAAGCCACTCCTGGGTACAGCAACACCACTCACAACATTAGACTGGAACGTTGAACAACTCCAAGATTATGGCATCTGCAAAGCCTCAGGCAAGACCCCAGAAATGATGTTAATGATTCTCTGTAAGGAACATTTTCCACTTGTGGAATTTGCAAACCAAGCTTGATACACCACTAAACAGAGGCTGTTGCAAGAAGTATAAAGATTTTTCTGGCTGCCAACCACAATAATTTTGAAACTGCAGTCAAATAAAGATAATTTTCAGTTCTTGCATGTAAAGTCCTATTTCTTCCTTGATGTTCTGGATAATCTACCTAAAGTTTCTGGGTAATTCTGATATTTAAAAGTAAGGACATAAGATATATTGTTTGATCAGAATAGCTGTAGATGTCTCAGTTAGTCATAGATCTGTCAGATGGTATTTAACAGACACTATGATTCTTCCCTTACAGAAGTCATCCCTACTCTCAGGCTCCCAATCCCTTTAGTAATGAAGTCTCCAAAACAGTTTGAGGCACCCTCCTGCATGAGCACTGCTGTCAGGTCCTCTGCTTTTGAGGAAGAAAATTTGGAGAAGATTGCCAAAGAAATACCTGTGTTTTTAATGGAGAGGCTGGAAGAATGTGGCACATACCAGAGCAATATGGCTAGAGCAAAGAGCAGGAGACTGCCTTGGGACCTCAACACTCGAGGTATTTACGACAGTCAGAGCCTGCCCCTTAAAGAAAAGGGAGACCAAGAGGTACTAGTTCATCATGCCTGCACATCTTGCTCTGAACAGATTTGATTCAAGAGAGATTAACCATGTCTGGAGAGAGTCCCAGTTTGCTGAAGAATGAACCAGACTAAAGAATCAGGATCCTATTCACTGCAGTGCTGTCCCTTCAGATTAAGAAAAATATCAAAAAGATTCTTCTTTTCATTTTTCCAAGACTGACCACCCAGTGAATATGCACACGAGCATACTCGGTGATTCTCTACAGAGTCAATGTTCAGGCTCTGAAAGGGGAAGGCAGCACTTCTTACCTCACATGTAAGCTACAGTGAGACAGGAAGGAGCACAATAGCTTTTGGATTTGCACCCAGCAGCTGAAAGAGCAAACAGCCTCGATCCAGGGGGAAGATATCCAAACACTTCACTTTGCAACAACTAAAATACCATTCTTGCTGAGGTAATCACCCTGTTAACCCGCATCGCCTCCAGCACACTGCATTATCAGAGACTGAAATAACAGCAGAGCAACAACAAAAGCAGAGACAAAATACTGACAGTTCAATAGATATTTCACATGTTACTTTGATGTCAGCTGGTAGGAAGCTAAGAGGAAAGAAAGAAGGGTGCCTGAAGCAGTGCATTATACTAAGGAACTCTGAAAGGAAATCTAACTACCAGAAATCACATTTCAGCTGTACTGTAGAAGGGCTTGCTCACTCTTCAGCAATTGTGTATGAGTTGTAATACAAGAGCAAAACCTATACCAAATGTCATATATGACTAGCATTCCAGCACTTTGTTTGCATCTTGTCTGCAGATTTGAAAGCAGACTGGTGAATCGCGGGAAAGGAAAAAGGCCTGGCATACAGGGAGACCAAGAGGTGTACAAATGAACTTCAGCTGGTAGCAGATGACTGACCACTTGCTAGAACGACTGACCACTTGCTAGAACGACTGCTCTTTTGCAGCCCCCATTTTGCAACAAAAAGTTGCACTTCACCACAATTTTATAGAGCCAGGTGTAAGCCTGGCTTTGCATAGATACAATTTTCAAATTGTAGCCCAGAAGCCTTAGAGTATATAAAGTTTCATGTTTACATAAAAAATTCAGTTAAGTCTCTGGAGAGGAAAAAAAAAAGCATAAAATGTTACTTAATAACTTGATGCTACAAGTAACATAATTGAGAAGTACATTAATTTTTAATGAGTGACTGTATGAACTAATTGAATGCTAAAGAGCTGGGGGAGTGGCTAATTCCACAACAGAGAAGTTTGTTTTCTAAAAATCATGATGCTAAAGTAACAGTTGACTTTTACTTGTATACTTATAAAAATAAAATACCTTAGTTATCTACATTCCACATATAGTCACTTTCAGAGAAGGCAGGGGTTTGATACTATGGCAAGTTATGAGGCTAAGAAACTAATCACAGAATGGTTTGGGTGGGAAGGGACCTTAAAGATCAGCTTGATCCAACCCCCCGCATGGGCAGGGACTCCTCCCACTAGACCAGGTTGCTCCAAGCCCCATCCAAATTGCCCTTGAATACTCACACCACCTTCACACTAAAGAATTTCTTTCTAAATCCTAATCCCTGAACACTTCAACAAGAATAAAGTGTAGCAGTTAAGAGCAAGAAAAGAAGTGGCTATTTAAAACTGAGAAACATTCTGCCAGAACTGAACCTAGCAGTGCAAGTAAGCAGAGAACACAGCTAAAACATGAAGTGAAGAAGGGCTGGAATATTATCAGTATTATTATATATAGTAGATATGTTATAAAAGGATTTTCAAATAAGCCATGCCTATAATGTATGCACTCCAGAAACATGAAAACTCTACCCTAAGTCCCACAAGCTTATTTTGCAAGAATGGCATGTTGCTCATAGTGGACATCTCTCTTCTTTCCCCTGTATCCTCCAGTTACTCCCGGCTATGGGAAAGCCCCCAGCAATGCTGCCAGGCACAGGATCAGCTCTTGCCTTGTCTCATGATGACAGTCCTGATCCCCAGCCTCTGCACAGAAACCACGCAGCCTGGTAGATGCTGCCAGAAGATACCAGCAAAAGGAGATCCCCAAGGAATCAGGGCACCATCTCCCATGGCATGGAGCAGCAGCAGATCCTAAAGCATGACTTGGCTGAGAATCACTACCCAATAAACCTAATTATAGGAACAGCCAAATCCTATTTTAATGTCTTTAATCTTAGTCTATTAGCACAAAGCAAGCTATTCCTACCACTTCTCCAGCTGATGGGAAAGCTTCTCCAGCTTATTTTTTAAAGTAACTTACATTTAATGACAAAATCTTGACTTTACCCAGGCCACAGGTTCTTAAACAAAACATATCATTGTGTGTACTTATTTTCCCTGAAAATGCATTACCAGAAAAGGCAATTAAGCCATCCCAGACAAAAGTAATTTTAAAGAACAATGAATACTAAATGGAAACCAGGAACAAATCTTCCTTTGCTAAAAAAAAAAATATTAAAAAAAATCCAATACTTTCCTTAGTATGACTAATCAAACTACTCCTCCAGTTTCATCAACTTAAAATGCACCCAGGAACCAAGCAGGGTGAGCTCAGCTCTTGGAGGACCAGGCAGTTTTGTGCATGCACGTGGGCACCCTGAGAGGATCCAATACCTGAACATTTGCCTGGCACAGGATGTAAGCAGCCCTGATGCTGGTTTTGGTGGAGTCTTGCACTCTGCCACTGAATCAGATCACTGTCACCACTCACTACCCACCATTCACTATAGCCCACTCCATGGGCAACACTCCACTGTGTGTCAGTGTTTTGAAGTGCAAGAGGCACCGCAGGAATCTGGGCCACTGGGACCTACACCTCTGAAATCCTTGAGCCAAAGTCCCCTGCAACTTTAAGAGAGCCCCTGACAACTCGGCAAGCACACAGAGCTGCCTTTGTCCCAGCCGCTGTTGCTGACATCAAGAGCAACAGCACGTCCACTGTGCACACAAGTGGGAACACACAGACTCCCCTGCTGCCAGGGAACGCAGGCTCACAGGGATCACCTCTCCCCTGTCAGGGCACAGCCTTCATCTCCCTGCCTGAGAACAGCTGCTGGTCCACTTGAGAAGTTCATCCCCTAATCCAAGTTCAGAGAACAGATAAGTGGTGTCCACATCACCTGCGAGTGCAAACCAGCAACTTTGTAATTCCACTGTCCAGACCAACAGCTTGTAGGATCCTGTGGCACTGGAACAGCCCAGAGCTCCTAAGTTCACACACACAACTGCTACAAAATGGATCAACAGAAGAAGAGCTATAATACAAATTGTGTTAGTGCAACACAATTTTATTGGTGCAATACAAAGTATAACTAAAAGTAAACAGACCTTGAAGTTTCCATCTTTAAGAGATGATACAATTTAGGATGGAAAACACAAAGTTACCCAAATAAAGAAGTAACAGAGTTACTTCAGACAGAGAGTGCAGGTGAGAAAATATTTGGCTTAGTTGGACCAACACTGAAGGATAATTTTCCTTTGTTAATTGAGTGTACTTGGTGTAATTTCAAGGACCTTTTAAATAAAAATGTCAAGTGAAAACTCATTTTAATATCCAAAGTAAATCTGAAGTGAAGTGACATGGTCACAATTCTGTCTCTTCTCTAAGGCAGCAGCTGATCCACATGCACAGCAGTCCCTTTCATAAAGCTCCCAGAGCCTCCAGAGTACTTTTACTCCAACGTGTGCCAGAGCTTTCAGTTATTGCACACATTCATCATTTGGCTCTGCATTGCAGGTAACCAAGAGCTGCTCTGCAGAGCTACTCAAGCTTGAAACACAAAAAGGTCTGGGGCCTTGGTCAGAGCAAGTTTCTAACTTGAACATGAACTAAGCAATTCCTTTTCCATGCTCTCTCTGGCTAACTCACAACATCTGCAATAATGAAACCTCAAATAGGTTTAAAAAATTAGTTCCCCACCTCTCCAGTCAGCAATGATTGCTTGTACCTTGCGTCATGTCACAAGATGTTTCTAAAGATATCTGCCCTATGTGGAGCAGTTCTTATTAATATAAACAGGTTACAAGACAAACTTATTTTTATTTTAAGACTGCAATAAACAGTATCTAAGAACAAACGTGGCAGCAGATTAAAGTCCAATGTCAGAAATGAGTCAACCAATTCTGAAAAAGGCTTTAAAACCCAATACAAAGGCACGAGGAGGGAGGCAAAAATGAAAACCAGAATTTGTGCTGTAATTTGCCAAACTTTTTATCTAGATGCTCTTAATATACCACCTATATATATACACACACACAAACAACTCATATATATTGAAAAATATGTTGGACACCATAAAGTTACCTGAAAGTGTAAGAGCTATTAAGCCTAACCATAGTTGTTTTGGGGAGGCTTTTCTGTTTATCACACAATTCATACCTATGCCAACCTTGTCCCCACCACTACTGAGCTTCTATCACAGAGGCAGAGGCTGCTCTGGTTCTGCTGTACTGTTGGGATGGTATCCTGCTGAGGCTGAAAAACTGGGGCATTAAACTGCCATCAGACCCAGCCATCCTGCCCAGGTCTACCCTAGAGTCAACTGTGTTCATGCAAATAAAATACCAAATTCAAATCTACATAGTTGTAGGCTTGCACAAAAAGCAAAATTTTCATGGCTCCTCAGCAGTTTAAGACATTCAGAGTAGGGCATGACTGGATTTAACACTGAAACACCAAGAAAAAGATCCATCCTCTGCCTATTTTTGTGGGGGGTTTTTCTGATAGTGAGGAGAGGAAGGGAGCTGTCTCATGTGTCTTTTAAAACGCCTGAAAGATAAGAGACTCACATGGGTTCCTCTTCCTTTGAGGCAAGATCATCTTTAGTCAGCAGAAAACGAGGCAGCTGCAGAGCTGCTCTACAGCAAGGCCACAAAGTTCTCGCCTGCCTTCCTCAGCCCACAAGCAGCAGGCAGGTGATTCAGCACAGCAAATGACAGCACGCCACGCCAGGGCAGCCTCAGCAGACTGCCTGCTCTCAGCACACAAGGAAGTAAAAGCTTGCAGGCTGCCACTAGCAGGAGGATCAGAGCTTTTTTGCCCCAAGATTTTCTAGATGAAGGTGTTTAGTTTTACCCATGTAACAATTATGTGAGCAATTAAAGGCATGAAAAAACAGATATCACACAGCCTTTAATTATATATATATATATTTGGTTTAGGCTAGGTGAGATGATGCGGAGGATTGGATCAAACTACTCTCTATTTCCTAAAAGAAAAAAATATGTTGATATAAGAGTGTATTGGGAGTTCCAACAATGCATCTTAAAGAACAGGCCTGTGCAGCTGGTCAGACCCAGCCCACTGAATAACTGATCACTTTCAGATTTCCAAAGACCTGATGTGAACTCTACTGAGAGCCAAGTCTTTATTAGCAGAATATCAATTTTTTAATCTCATCTCAAAGGTCAATATTCTAATCCAAGTTTCAGGAAAGCTCTCAATAGGAACACATCTGACAATATCTGTGACTCAGTATTCCTCTATCTTATCCATTGTGCTGCATGCTGTATTTAGGAATCAGGAAATTCTGGGAGATGAGTTTCACAGATCTTTATAAAACCTAATCATAACTGGGAATTATAGATAACATTCATACTTTATCTGGAGAAACAACTTAATCAAGTTAGACAGCAAAACAAGACAGCGTGCAGCACTTATTATTTTATTGCACTCATTTTTGTAAACACTATCAGTTATTTCCACACTCCTTTATTTACACAGAATCCAGATTCTGCTACTTTAATCATTCACTACTGCTTAAATAATATTATCAGTGAATTGTCTGCTTTATCAGCTAAACTGGTAACCAGGATATCAGACAACTCAAGTTTTTATCAATATTAACTTAAGAGATGAAAGCCAGTTGCAAATAGATTGCTCTACAGGTTAACCATCTTTACCCATTCTCTTGTCTGCATCTGTCCTCAAAATTATGGAGCAACTATCAGGGTGTGTTCTTCTTTTCCTCCCAACACCTTCATGTCACCAGCCAAGATTAGACAAGACTAAATCAGGCAAGAGAGCTGGAATGATTCCCACAAGGACACCCCTCTCTCTTACCCCCAACACAAAGCAAATAACCTTTAAACAGGCATCATCTCAGCTTTGACAGAAATTCATGGCATCTGTCATATATCACTGTTTGAATCTTCTAGTTGGATTTCTGTTTGTTGCTTGGTTTTGGTGGGCTTTTTTTGTTGCTTTTTTGTTTTTTTTTTGTTTGGTTGGTTTTTTGCTTGGTTTTTTTAATCATTACCACTATGCAACAGCAATTACAAAGAAGTACCATCCTCTAAAACATACACCTCACACAGTTTACAGAAAAGCTACTTTTCTTATAAAGCACAGAAACTGGACACCTGCAGCTAGCTTATATGGTGTCCTAATGAATGACACCATATGTTCTTTCAGTTAATGAGAGAGTTGATATGAAAATACATAAACATTCACACACAAACACCACCACAAGTTAATATTGCATTCAATATGCATGTCAAGTACAGTAGAAGACTGGTGAAATGCTTACCTACTATTCTCTTCCCTCCCTCATCCCATACTAAAAGTTCACCAGAAAATTATAAAAGGCATTGCAGAGCTGACTCTTCCTGTTTCTAAACTTAATCCTCTTAGATCCCCTCCCATACAATGACCAGTAACATTTGCTGCCCAGGTAATGCCAACAGACTGAGTCAGCCACAGGTTATCTCCTGCTGCAGCTCTACCTGCTCCACTGTCCGCCCTTCTGCCTGCTCTCAGGAACATTCTGTGCCACAGCATTTCAATACTATCCTAACACCACAAAGTTGATGGAAACACTGACACTAGGTTCTGAGTGCTAAGCAACATTCAATTTGTACACGTGTTTAGGCTTTGGGTGATGTAATGGATGTTGTGGAGCCCTTTTCACACACAGCTTATTCCGAGACAAGTTTTTCCTTTAGCTAATTCCATGTAATTACTGACTCTACCAGTAAAGCTGCACAGCATCAAACTAGAATCCTTTACTAGTTCTTCATCTCCTCCAGTGAAAAAGTGAAATCACCAGCTCACACTGCATCTAGAGCAGCTAGCTCTGTATTGCCAAGATCCAGCCAACTTAAATGTCTCTACAGATCTAAGGCAAAGATGAGCTTGCTTGCTTATGCTTCCAATCAAATGAAGTAGTAAGAGACCAAAAATTACATTAATCAGCAAAAGAGAGCTGCAACTCCCCTCACATTGCTGGAAAAAAGTAATCATTCAAGATAAAGCCCAAAACTTCACATCCTGACATGAAAGCATAGTACTCCAAAATACTGGTTTTGTTATCAGTCCCCAGAAACCCAGCCAGTTTGATGCCTGAAACACCTTTTATAAGATTCTCTTGGACTTCTGCTTTCTGAAAAGTTCTTGTAAATATTTTTGTTAATATATTTTGTTTCCAGTCCTCAGTTTGACAGCTATTTTCCCTCTCAATAGTCCCTCACACTTGCAATGGAGATGGAAGAACCAAGCTTACATAGCTGTGTTAAAAGCTTCAACTTTGAGACACTGAGAAGCCATTGAAATGAAAGACAAAAAGCAGTAAGAGTTTTGCAGACTCTCTCAGTTTCAGAGGCACCACAATTGCACATGGACAAACATCCCTCTTCCTTTCCAACAGCAAGTGAAGCTTGAAATATCACACATTTGTTTCTGGCACCAGACCAGGCAGGTTTGCCTGGGTCAGGGCAGTGAACAGCTCCTACTTACATATCCCAACAACAACAGAGGGCATGTGTTCCAGTCTCAAGTAGAAGAGAAGATTGTAAAAATTGAAACAGATCAGAGAGAAGCATAAGACGACAGAGATCCATTCTTGTAGTCTCTTTCCTGTTGAAAAGAAAGAAAAAAAAAGGAAAAAAAAAACATGTTTTACTTTGATCTGAGAGGACATTTTGAAGTCTGAAATAATAGACTATTCTACTGCCTGGATGACTGACTCCACTTCTCTGACAGGGAACTGAAACAAGCTTATCTAACCATGGGAGGTGTGCATATTTTGTTAAATGACATTCCTCTTCCCCAAGCTAACCCCTTCCCTCTGTCCTTGCCCAAATAACAGGGACAAATCAGACATCATCTCACACTGTCCTACTTTCCTTTCCCCTGCGGTCACCGGCACAATGTTCCTCCACATCACATCTTTTTTCGAATTTGCATTTCGTTCAATATTCAGTGCGACTGAGAACAAATTTGAAAACAAATTTCTGGCCTCAAATACCTTGTAGTTAAATCACCTCATGATCTGTAATAATTAAATTCTCATAAATGTAAATACAGCTGTTATACTAACTGGAAAAAGCATCCTCCCATATTTTGGTGGCCCCAGAAGCACGTTCCTAACATTGCAAGTGTGCTTCTTGAGCTTGTGTACTTAACTCCTGCAGTCCTGTCTTTGCCTTCTTGCTCCTTGGCAAAAGGCCTCTCTGCCCTTCTGAGATGACAAGAGACAGAAAAAGCAATGAGAAAGAACTGGCACAAATTCTCTCTTGTACCTTGCTGTGCTACTTCATACCTCTACAAAGATCTTATTTGTTGCCTATAAAGGGAGAACAGACACATCAGAGTATGGTAACACTTTGAATATTCAGATGAGCAGCAGAAAGCTTTGGCCTGTCAATCACTGCTGAATCCTCACAAGGCACTGATGCTGAGAGCAAGTGAGCACTCAGTGTGAGACCTGCATGGATTAAGGCATCAGACACAGACCTTTAATGCCTAAATCCAAGGCAATCTGAGCTGCCCCCTTGGCCCAGAAGGGCCCTGGCTGTAGTTAGCTCTTAAGATGATCAGAAGCAGACAGGCTAGTCTTCACCTATTCCAGGGGATCAGCCAGCAGAGCTGCCTCTTGCCCAGGGCCTCCCAAAGCAGTTCACCCCCAGGCTGCTCCCCATGCCCTCCTGCAGCCTTAAACACTCCACACCACTCCAGTCTGAGATGCAGGGAACCACTGGTAAGCACTACATGAGGTGCACTTCCTCTCAGAGGAGCTCACGTCTGGCTTGTGTTCAAGACAGGAATTTCTTTCTTACTACTCCTCTGTGTTGACCTGCTGTCTGATCATGTTTATCCTCCTAAACGCTAAATCAAGACATCCTTCTCATCTATACCATGCAATGAAAAGGAAAACAAGAACACCAAAGGAGGATCAGTGTTATCTTTGATGTGCCTACAACACAATATTTTAAAGCATGGACAACGACTTCTACTGTTCAGAGTTCTGTTCTACAAAGGCCACAAGTATATAAATTAACATCCTCTGCAGTAGCAGAGAATTGTAAAATTAAATTAAGACACAAGAACACACATATTTCAAGACAGCAGCAGGTCACAACGTGGGACATTCTATAAAGAGGTCCCTGGAGGAATGAAAGTAAGAGTTAATTAACAATCACTTCCTGCCTAAGAAAACCACACCCTGATTAGAGGAGCTAAGTGGGTAGATCCACACGGAACAATTAGCTGACTGTGGGGAAACACTAGGCTCCTTACCAGCAAGTCCCAAGAGTTCAGTCTATGCAAATACCACTGTACTCTGAACACAGGGATCCCAACACAGATTGCCTGAAAACATCTGAGTCCAGAAATGCAGTCCCAGCTCTGGACAGACTAGGAAGGCAGATCAGTCAAAGGAGTAGAGTCAGCACCAATAATTTGTGTTTAAAGACCACTCAAAAACTACATCCCACATGAAGGGAACAAAGTGGCAAAGCCACAAAGCATATGCTTAAAGAAACTGTGGAAATATTCCAGAATTATGTTCACTCTGCACAATTGCACATAATCCCCATCCTTAAGAGCTCAGTACTTCAACACTATGTGCTTCTACCATAACACATATTCTGACATAGTTTATGTAAATTATTTATGTAACGCCACAAAAAAGTTGCACATCTGATCACAGCTCACTGCTGACAGATGTCACTATGCACACACTGCTTCAGACTTAACAGCAACTTCTGTCTACAGCTAAAGATAAGGGTAGCAAGTTGTTTCATGTCACGGTTTAACCAGGACATTTGGGGAGGAAAATCTTTTCCTTATGATCACAAGCACAGTAGGTAGGTAAAGTTAGTGACTGCTTTGCTGTAAAGCACAGGAATCAGTCACTGCCTGGATCAGAACCACGTATCTAGACCAGCTGAAAGACATGACACATCACCTTTTCTCAAGGCAAGGAAGAGGAGACTGATACAAGCTAAAGTGGACAGACTTGCCCTGAACAGTCTAGAAAACTGAGAAACTAACGAATACCTGTGGTTTTTTATCATTACTTGGCTTTGTACAAGAACATCTGCTTTCCCAGTAACTACCTTGAACGTGCAAGCTAAGCTGTTCAGCTGACCTGGTAGAAAACTGCAAGATGCTGAAAACGTGTCTTCCCTTTCCTAATTCTTCACCTGCAAATGAATTCACTGGGAACAGCACTGCTCACACTGTGAGACAAAAACAAATTGCATTTTATTATAAGGAGTTTGCAGTTATTTCTATAGCACAATCAAATAGCTTGACTGACTTCTGATGAACAGCAAGCTTCAGGAAGACCAGATCAACACAAAAATTCAAACATCCCTCCACCCCTTTCTGTGGTACCAGGATTGGGTCTCACAGAGTAGTTCAATGAATAAATATTCAGAAGCAGAAGCTTCTGTTGTCAGTTTGCTTAACGACCAGATTTGTACATCTGCTTTTGAATGGAAAAGTTTTTTTAATTATTATTATTTTTCATGGGAAGAGGAATTGTGGGCAGGTTCTAGCTGGATTGCTTCCACCCCAGTAGTGAGATCATGGGCTCATATTTGAGACACTAACTCCATACTGGCACCTTTTTGTAAGCCAAGCATCTAACCTCTCCCCCACAGCGCTTTCTTAACTTCCCCAAAGCCTGCTCTAAAAGCGGTGTGTTGAGCACACCGGCCAAGTCTCAGGTTTACAAAGTGAAAGGGACCCGGAGCCCAGCAGGGCGGGAGGGCCACACAGGAAAGCGTCTCGCCCACCGCAGACAACGAGAAGTCACTGGCCTGACAAAACACCTCCAAGACACCGGAGGCCAACAAAAAGGGCCCTGGATGAGGCCAGAAACCCGCCCAACCCGCGGCCTGCGGGTCTGAGACCTGCTCGCACGGCCCAGGCCCCGGGGAGGGGGCACGGCCGGTGGGCGCGGGCACTCGGCGTCCCCCGCTCACAGCCCCGGGCCCGG